AAAATTCTAAAAATCTTAATTAACATATAAATCAAATCAATTTCTGGTTCGGATGCCGATAAGGCCTTTAATTCACAAACCGAAACTAAAACATGAACAGATCTTTCTACGCTAAATAGATATAAATACAAAATAATGCAATGCACATGTAATTAACTCAGGATTTCTTCCCAATTACTTGTTAGGCACACTTAAGCATGAATTAATGTTAATTTTGGGTCAGGGTTGTTACAGAAGCGGGAAGGATACATTGGGGCGTGTAAGCGCATCGGATAACACTTGTGAATCAGTTGCACTACCTTCCCAACCGGGATAAACAAAAGTAAATTTGAGGTCAAACGAGTTTGCTGTAAGAACGTTTTGTGTTAGTGCAACCTTCCTACCACGATATGTAGTTCTCTTTGAAGCAAGTGCATGCACCGCAATGTGTGTACCATCGATTGCCCCAATACAGTCTTACATTACGCAAATATGATAATTATTACATTTGTCTACACCCAACTTTCATTGCATACTCCTCATAAAATTGCAAACAAACAAGGGTGCCCGAAGCTAACCTTAAACCATAGGTAACGCTTCGGGTTGTTTCGAATTTCAGGAGGAATAACATTCGGGTCAGAAGGTTGGATGATAAGGACAGCAAGACGACACAATACTCTTATCATAATTTTGAAATGTCGGTGAATGGTTTCCATTGAGTGTTGAAAACGATCAGCCGCAAGTCTATGTCGTTCACTATGTCCACATACATATAAAAATATAACAAGTGATTGCTCTATAGATAACCTGTTCTTGGCCACCTTTATGAACTCTCTGCATTTCAATTCAGCACAAAGGGACCTGAACATTGGTGCATCCATCCGCAAGATCTCCTGAATTGTGTGCGGATGACCGTTCAATAAATGTTGAATGTACATTTCTCCAGTGTACGGACATGTCCGTTGGGGCTGCTTCCCTGGAATTCCATTGGTTGATTCGAATATCTGGTATACCATGGCAAAGTCCACGTCATCGTCATTTGATGCAATAAATGACGACCTTAACTGCTCTGCAATACTGTTTTCACTGTCCTCAATATCAGCGTTGTCCGAACTGTCCTCGCTGTCTGCGCTATCCTCGGTCTCCAAGCTTTCCCCACTTGAATCCATCTCCGCCGTGATGTTGTCGTAGTTGGGAAATTCATTTGACTGACTGTTTAATGCGGCGTCCATATCAAACGGATTTGTTGAGTTACTGGGGTCCATTTCCGTAAATACAAAGAAAGTAAGATGAAAATGAAAATCTAATTCACATCGATACATAAATCCATAAAATTATCAATCCATAACATTATAGTACTAAGTTGAAAATGTAATAATAGAAGTCTATAACATTATTCATAGGCTTGATCCCTAGAGTGTTACAAAAAAAACCAGAAAGAAACAGCACCAAACAAAATTTTAAAAGCTAAATAATGGCCTAAATGGAATTGTTGGATACTATCAGCCAAACACAAAAGTGGAGAGGTAAGTGACAGTTTCCTAATTCGAACAAGCATCTCTCTTCAATCCGTACTAATCAAAAGGAATCTCCGTAAAATAAAAAGAGACAGAAGCGCAAAAAAAAAAAAAAAAAAAGAAGATATACAATATAAAATAGGAGACTTGTATATAACATAGGCTTGATCCCCTGGAGTGTTACCAAAAAAACCAGAAAGAAACAGCACCAAACAAAATTTTAAAAGCTAAATAATGGCCCAAATGGAATTGTTGGATACTATCAGCCAAACACAAAAGTGGAGAGGTAAGTGGTAGTTTCCTAATTCGAACAAGCATCTCTCTTCAATCCGTACTAATCAAAAGGAATCTCTGTAAAAGAAAAAGAGACAGAAGTAGAAAATCACAAACACTTGTGAAAGTAAGATATACAACAAATCTTATTCCATGATTTCCTCTATATGCCCAAATTTATAAGGAAAAATTTGTGTTCCTTCCTAAACAAATCTTTGGAAATATCACAAAAATGACACAATCCTAAAGAACTCGAACTTTCGTATTTGTTCCAAACCTCTTACAATCAATCAAAAGCATTTGTATAAAAGAAGAAGAAGCCACCTAGTCAACATCCACCATGTAAAACAATTTATGCCACACTGATAAAGTCACAAGACAATGCAAAAAAAAAAAAAGAAAAAAGAAAAAAGAAAAAAAGAAAAAAAGAAATGAGAATTCTTTCATTATCCCCCTTTCTACACAAAATGCACCATTGAGGTAGCAAAAGGTAATCAACTCTCCTTTGAAACTAATCATTAGAAACATAACCCAGGGGTGAGTGGCAACTTGGTAAGGGCTTGGGGTTTAAGCTCCTAGGTCCTGGGTTCAACTCCCCTCTGGGCCAATCTCCTAGGCGTAGCACAGTTGGTTAGGAGGTTGACCTCAAGGATGCCTTATCAGCTACTTGGTGTGGGTTTAATTCTCCCCCGCTGTGCGAGTCCTAACTTAAGCGGAGCTTACTTTGGGAGGTCGGGACAAGCTAAAAAAAAAAAAAAAAGAAAAAAGAAAAAAAGAAATGAGAATTCTTTCATTATCCCCCTTTCTACACAAAATGCACCATTGAGGTAGCAAAAGGTAATCAACTCTCCTTTGAAACTAATCATTAGAAACACTTTACTTAAAAGGACACACAAGCATTACAAATCACTTTAACAAAAATAAAAAATGGGAACATTAGAATTATCAATCAACTAATGAAAAAAAAAAAGACTAGCCAGAGAACAAACCTAATGAATGAATAGACAACACCCTTCATCCATAGAATCCCACCTTATTATGCATGACAGGTATCACTTGGATTTTCAAAGAAACTGAAATTTTAAGAAATGGGAGCCTTAGGGGAACAAGCAATAGAAGCACAAGTGTATACAATTTGTAATGTGCATAAAATTGCAACCAATTATGGGCAACAAAAAATTGAAAAGAAAAACAATAATAAAAATATTAACAGTAAAAAAGTGACAAACGGCTAAATTTGCATGTTCATGTTGATTTATATAAGAGAAGTTGCATTTCTTTTAATATCTAAAAATGTTTAGCAACTTCCAAAAACCTGCTTGGATGAGAACACTCCCAAAAAATCTTTTAAAAAAATCTATTCATGTTGATTTATCTAAATAATGTTTATCTAAAGAATCTTTTAATTTCTTTTAATGACTAGCAAGAGAACACTCCCACAAACCTGCTTGTTTAGCAACTTTCCAAACAAAGTGTTGTACCCAATGGCATTGCATCAGCAACTAACAAGGAAAGGTAATCCGAAAATAATGGTGGAATAGCTCAAAATCAACGACACACATATAAACATAAACAAATCCCAATTGCATATTAACTACAACAATACCATACGCAATATTATGAAATGATGTCAAATATGTAAAGAATGCCCAAATTCCCGAACATTCAACACTGTTTAGTAGAGGCTTCACTGCTCAACCTCATTGCTGGATAATTGATTGCAAACGTAATAATAGAAGTTCTTAACATTCCCAAACTTGAATATGAAATGTTCATCTAATGTTTTGGTCATGACAGACAAACTCTTAATTTAGTACAACCTCCAACTTCCTTACATAACTATAGTTGACAGATGAAATACACGGATTAAAAAAAAAAATTTAGGAGCCGATTTTTAATGTTTTAGCTACATACATTGACTTATACCAACTTGGATGCTTAACAAAACAAAATTGCATCCATTAAAAGCTTAATTCCTAAGCAAGCTTACGAACCCAATCCATCTGCATGTTTGGTAGCATCTTCATGAGCATTTTCCTCGTTGCTTTATCACAGAAACTCTCACACGCCTTAACGTATTGGTCGGGAGTGATTCTGTACATTGTTGCCAAACAGTCGATACATGCTACAATGGAGTATTGTTTCTTCTCGGCTTGACTCACTTCAGCCATTTTGTTTTGGCAAGCAAAAAATTCTTTTTTTGCAAGGTTTGTGGCAGTCCATGTATCAAGTGCCAAATTAAAGTGTGCACCATTTCGCCCACCATCGTTGCCACTACTCCCACCTACCTTTAGGTCATCATGTCCCTCGATGTTGTCACCAATAGGGATAGAATCGGTATTTGAGTTGATACCAACACCAAAGAATGCAATTTGGATAACCTTTTCTTCATCAGAGGTTGGGGCTCCTTGGGTTGTGTAGACACCCCATTTTTGACCGACCTTAAGACTCAGACGTCACCGATTGAGCGCTTGGTGATGTTGCATATCGTGTTCGTTCAGAGGTTTCAGAGTCTCGGCTACGAGCCTTGCCTCCGGACTTCCGGACTCTTTCATGCTTTGCTTCGGTTTGTGAACCAGGCTCTGTTTTCTCTATTTTCTCTTCCCGAAGGGAAGGAGAGGTCTCATAGATCATCTCTCAGTGACTGTAGGCTACGTTTCGTGGTCGTAGGCCATTTTGCCCGTTTGGAGTCCGATTTCCGATTTTTCGGAGCCGTTGGCCGTGTGCCTCGGTTCGGGACCGCTTAACCACCTCCGTTTGCCCCGGTTTTTGGCATACATCTTGTTTGCTCCCTTCTGAGGGACACTGAGGTCTGAGAGACCCACTTCGTGGTCAAATGCCACTTTCGGTGTTTAACAGGCAGTTTTCGGGGCCCCGAACTGCGCGTTCTGGCCCTCAAGCATTCGTTTTGCATCAGTTTTCGTTCATTTTTGGCAGGTACCTCTGTTTTATCACCAGGAAAGCCGTACAAGGGTGGGAGGCCAGCAATTGTTTCAGCAACCAGTTATATTCCTCCGGCGCCCTCCGACGCCCGTTTTTCTTCACTTCCGAGCCAATGTTGAACAACCTTGGGCCTTTTTCTTGAACTTTAAACCACATATTTGTGTTGTACACATATGGGAGGACACTAAAAGTTGGTGGCCAGCCAGTAATTCCACCTGACCCTTTTGAACCCTTTCTAAAAATGGCCTATTCTCTCTCCTGTTTTACAGTTGCCAATTTTGTAATTCCTAAGCAAGCTTACGAACCCAATCCATCTGCATGTTTGGTAGCATCTTCATGAGCATTTTCCTCGTTGCTTTATCACAGAAACTCTCACACGCCTTAACGTATTGGTCGGGAGTGATTCTGTACATTGTTGCCAAACAGTCGATACATGCTACAATGGAGTATTGTTTCTTCTCGGCTTGACTCACTTCAGCCATTTTGTTTTGGCAAGCAAAAAATTCTTTTTTTGCAAGGTTTGTGGCAGTCCATGTATCAAGTGCCAAATTAAAGTGTGCACCATTTCGCCCACCATCGTTGCCACTACTCCCACCTACCTTTAGGTCATCATGTCCCTCGATGTTGTCACCAATAGGGATAGAATCGGTATTTGAGTTGATACCAACACCAAAGAATGCAATTTGGATATCCCTTTCTTCATCAGAGGTTGGGGCTCCTTGGGTTGAAGCACGGGCAAGTGCACCAGTGGCTTGGGAGTTGGCAAAGAGGACGTCTAACAAGTCTATGTGGTCTAGACCCTTTTTCCTGAACACTTTTGCTCCGGGATGTGCCTACAAAAATAAAAAACCAAAGATATGGTAAATAAGAATTGTTCGAGTTAATGTACTGCAGTATGAAGGTTGTAGTCAATCCTACGATGGTGGTTGTTACCTTCACATAGTGATCCCAGACATCATCCGGGGCCATGACCGTTTTCCTCTGCTCATCCCAACCGAACCCCGTATGGTTTTTCAATTTCACAAATGTATTGTATGCTTGCCTGATGCGGTGGTACTTTTGTTTTAATCGGTTAACTGTGTACCTAACTCTGAACTGACTGTACAGCTCGTCGTCAATTCGAGTTCAATGCCTTGTGGTGAAAAAGTTTTTTTTGGTTAATGAAGGGTCTTGCTTCACCTCCTCGACCATCAGTTGGATGAAGGCCAACTCAATCCTACTTGGCCACAACCTCAGTTCTTGCGCATCGTCAACGAACCTCTCACTGTCCATCTATGAAATACATGTAATGAGGTCTAACTTCTTCAAAATAGCAAGTTACAAATTTGAATGGAAATGGCAAGCGAGTGGTTTACGTAAGGAAAAAAGATGAACATTTTTGTACAATTACAAGTGTATAGTACTACACGGATAAAAGTTTATTTAATTTACTACAGTACTGAGATGTTGCACATAGCAACTAATTTCATAGCATAAGTTGCAACAACCCAAACCAAATTTACTAGACATGTGTTACATGTATACGGGTATTTCGTATGTGTAAACAAGCAGGTTTGGTATAATGTAATATTCTGTGTACAAAAAAAAAAAAAAATTCTGGCGAATAGAGTTATGATGTTTTAATGCATTCTTGTTTCGCTAAACATTGCATGTAACACATTTACGAAATTCAGCAGAGTAATATTTACCTCCACGTCGTTTTCACCAAAACAAGATGTAATAGAGTCCGGTGTGTGTCCTGGCTTTTCCTTCGTCTTCAAAGCGTCTTCAATAAATGGGGGTATACCTAAATGAACTGCACAGTGCACTTACTAAATGGGCATAATCGTGTTCATTGTTGTTTAGCAGATGGAAAATAACGTGATGATATGAATGAACAATATTCAACGTGCCTTGTTCAAGAAAAATACATTTAATACAATTACAAGGGTTGAAAGACCTTGCTCCTTTCCTCGCGAATCTTGGTACAGCGGGGATTGAATCGACCACAAGAAACTGATGGTCTCACTACATCAACAATGATGACAACAATAAAAGTAAAGAAATAAGTACAACTTCCTATTGGAGCTATAAAGAAATGAGAATCATGTTTTCTATGCTCTTTTGCCTGGTCTATCAACATATTATGCGAAATGGAATTTAGTAAATCAGAACCAAAGTGCAAAGGTAATAACCATAAAATCCAAATGATGTGTTTGAAATTAAGTCTTGGTAAAAACAAGTTCAAAAAACACAATATAAGATGAACTATATTCGTTACGGAATTCACACACATTTTCGTATCCAAATTAATGATTGAAATACAGCCTAAGATAGAACACCAGTGGTTACCACCACTTGAATACATATTTAGAGGGTGCGGAACACAACGGAACAAACTTTAATTTTTGCTTGGTGTCTCTCAAAAGTTTTAAAGGGGCAAACAGGTGGGTTTTTGCAATCACATTCATGATTATTTGTATTTCTATGTTTGATTAAACGTTCTATCGTGTGCAATGATAATGATCGTCACCTAAATTGTGTTACCTGTAAATTACTTTTATGTTTCATTTGTTTAATTATGTCTAGTAGTATTATTGTCGTGTTGTGAATGGGACTACTATTAGACTTTATAATTAGTAACTGATAGTGTTGTTAATTTGTTATGGTAGGGCGATAAGCATTTGGTACTCTTCTCTCTTGTTCCATCCAAAAGGAAGGATGAAAGTGGGTAGCCTTGAAACTTAAAAGAGGACAATCTATGGAACTGTAATAGAAGAATATTTTAAGATTGTGGATCTTTAGTTTGGAGGGTATATATCATATGTGTAAACTTTTAAAATATTTATTGCAGAAATAAAATGAGCCAGTCATTAGTTGAAGATATTAAAATTTGACTTTTTGTTCAATGGCTAAGAAAGAAAAAGTTTGAAAAGAAAGTACAAGAAAAGGACTTAAGGAACTCTTCCACCTGAAGCCCGCTTCTGTTTTCTAGGGTCAACAAAAGATTAGAAAATAGAGGAACATAAATAGAAGCAAGATGATTTCAGGTGAGTTTTATACTTCGAAACCAACACACCATAAAACATGGGAATCAAAGTTCTGCTGTCTTTTAATTTTACCGGTGATTAAACAGGATGTCTTGTATTAATATTTTGTTGTTAGACTTTGCACTTCTTTTGGGCGTTGGTTATTTTAATTTGACTTTTTTCCGTCTTTAGTGATTGCTTAATTATTAAATGGACTCAAACGACTTTACTTTTAGGTTTATCTGAACTAGATGATCTTAAAAAATTTAACTTTTGATTTTTTTTTTTTTTTAAGTTAATGAGATAGTTTTACATAACCCAAAAAAGAAGAATTCAAACCTACAAAAATAGAACAAAATAAAAATTCTGATACTTTTTTAATGGATTTCTCAGTATGGGGAAGTCATTAAAAACATGAAAGTGGAGCAACAGGGGAGAGAGTAGAGATAATCACTTTGCTTGGAAAGTGAAATTGCCAAACCTGGGGTAAACAAGCAAATCACAAATGGCCAAGTGGGTCCAAACATGGTCCATATATTTGAAAACATATGTTCAAAAAAGGGGGACAACCAGCAATCGAATTTATATGTATTGAGTTGTTGTCTAAGTCAAGTTTGCATGTTTTATTTCATAATGAAATTGGGTGAGAATCTACCACATTGACACAAAATGATGTATTAACAACTTCCATACAATCCATTTTGCGGTGGGCTTATTTTCTTGATACTTTAGTAAGTTGTAGTCAAACTTGCTAAAGCCCCCAATTTGTACACCAAACTAGAAGAGTGTACCCAACAAAAATACTGCTTCATTTCCAAAATGAAGGACTTCAATAGCGATTTTGGAACCACAGTTGGGAAAGGGGAAACTATGACCACATTGGAATATGATAAAGCTAATTTCCCAAATGAAAAGTATAAAATATGTGCTTAGTATATCCGAAATGTGGAAATTACATTCTAAAATCGAAACCAGTTACCAGAAGCTTCAGAAATTTCTTTCGGTTTCAAATGATGAAATTATTTTCCAAAATCAAAGCAGCGAACTGATTTCTAATCTGAAAGGGATTTTCAGATTAAACTAGGGATTTGGTGTATAAAACAAACCACACCAGTTTTAGGTTTACATATAAAACTTCAGTTTCGAGATTCAAGTACCATTTTGGTCTAACTGCTACCGTAAAGAACAGATTTGTTGAACAAAATTTCATTTCTTACAAATTTATGAAGAAGAACACTCTCAAAATAGAAGGGGAAATGGAGATCAAAATGAAAACATGATGAACCCCAAATAGTGCAACTAACCACTTTGTCGTCAGATCTTCGTCACCCTGAGCTCAAAGCGACCACACCTGAACAGTGTCTTCGTCGCTGGGCGTCGTCGTTGCTTTGGTGTTGCTGACCTTCGCATATCAACGGAAGCGAAGATGTGGTAAAATGTTTGGTAAAGGTAATAAACAGGCAAGGCAGACGTTATGAAAAGGAGTACACAAGTAGATTGTACTAGAGCCTAGGCTCTTCACATCACGTGAAGAATCAGATCCTGAAATTTTTAAAAAAAAATAGAACTCATTTTTCAAAATAACCAAACAAATTATATAAATTTTCAAAAAATCGTATTCAAAAAATCACTACCAAACATTATTTTATTATTTTATTTTATTTTTTGAATTGTACGAGATAATCAAACATGTGTCAATTTTTAAATGATGTAGAATAGTGCTCACAACAAAATTGAAATGATCAAATACACATTGATTTTCAAAATACGTAGTTTGTTGTATTTTGATTTTCAAAATGTGTTCTTTGTTACATTTCAATCTCTAATATTTTAAATACCTCATCTCCCCTAATTAATTTAGGGCCCATTTGGCAATTTAATTTGTTAGCTAAAGTAATTAAAAAAAACATAAATAAATCAAAAAGAATTAAAAAGTCTAGACAATACTAAAAAAAAAATCAAAACATCTCAGTAATTCACAATTTTTTATACAACTACAAAAGTCACACATTAATTTTTTACCTAATAAAGAATAATAATAAATAAAAACCGCTAAAAAGTCAATTTCTCAACGCGGCCTTTGATAGCACGAGTGTTATTAGCACTATCTAAATTCATATTGTGTAATTTGGGAACCAAATTAACAAAAGAAAAAAAAAATTCAAAACTACAGTGCAACAAAACATATATTTTGAAGGAGAATAGTACGGCTGATCTGAATTTTACGGCCAGTAAATGATTCCTTCACACGTAATTAAATTTATTATATAGAACTCTAGCAACTTGTTATAACTTGTGCTCCTAATAATAACGATAATATTGCATTAAAAATTAAGTAAATCAAAACAAGGTTTCCCAGCGAATTTGGCTTGTTCAGCCTATTTCGTCTACCTTATTATTTCAACATCTCCCTCACTAGCACTGGTGGAAGTAGCAATTTCTGTTTCTTTCCACCTCTCAGAATCGTCCACAAGGCCATGTTTCTCCCCAGTGGCCCTCATTGTTTAGTACACTTTCAGCATTGTTGGCCTCTGCTCTGGCACCGACTGAATGCATTTGCATGCAATATTGATGAACTCAAAGATCTCACCATCGAATCCCAACCCAATCAAAGGGTCATCAACTACATCTTGCAGACTAAAAGAGTTACTTACAAGATTGATGATCCATTCAACCAAATTGCTGTCAGAATTTGCAGAAGTTTCAGCAATGGATGTTCCTTCCTTGTAAGCAGCTCAAGAAGCACAATTCCAAAGCTATATACATCCTTCTTATCAAAACCCAACTCCAACAATTCCTCATTCGTGATAGGACTCCCACCCAAAGCAGCATCATTCGAGTTCATGAACTTTGCCTTGCAAAATTAAAGATCTTGGGCTCAAAATTCTTATCAAGTAGTACACATTTTGAACTTATGTTCTTATTGAATACCCAGAATTTTTTGTTGTGGTGGTGAAGCTATGCCAATCCTCTAGCTAACCCAACGGCAATTTTAACTCTCATAGGCCATTTCATGGTCTTGAACTCACATTTCGGAGGGTGTAGCCAATCATAGAGGTTACCATTTGGTATATATTTGTAAACCAACAGTTTTTCCTTTCCTTCATAACAGAAAACAAACAGAGGTACTAAATTATTGTGTCTTAATCTACCTAGAGTCATTACCTCGGACATAAAGTGTCCTTCGGAGAATTGTGATTCAAAGAACCTCTTGATGGCAAGGAACGAACCATTTGGGAAAACTAGCTTGTACATTATCCCCATCTTTCCCAACCCGATCATGTTGTCTTCTCTAAAATTGTCAGTGGCATTCACGAGTTTTGTGAAGCTTATTCTAGTAACCAACTTCTCCAATTTAGAAATCTGTGAACCAAATTATAGTATCAATTACAAGGGAAAACAAAAAGTAATTGGCTGAATAGCCTGAAAATGAGTCCAGAAAGAAAGAACCGAAACTCTAATTTGGATATGCAAACAATAAAAATATATTAATCCAAGTGTTTGAAATTGAGTCTAGAAGAAGATGCTATCACTCTGTTTATAAAACAATATGTTATAGACAAACACTGTTTGTTACCATAATAGGAGGTTATATATCATACCTATTCAAATTATAATTAAGAGCATAAGATATAGCAGCTTTGGTATGTTGTAATTGCATTTGCTTTTCTTACACCACTTGAAAATGAGAAAGAGCAAAAATTCTAATAAGAGGATAACTGAAAACAAACAAGGAACAACTGAACATGGAGGGAGGAAATGATGCAAAATGTATGAAGAGAGAGAGAGAGAGAGAGAGAGAGAGAGAGAGAGAGAGAGAGAGATGTGTTCAACCTGTCAAGTTTTAAGGCAACCCACCTAAACTACCAAAAATCAAACATATAACAATGGACACAAGATTTACGTGGTTCGGCCTCAATGCCTATGTCCACGGAGAGAACTAGAGATTTCCATTAAAACAAATAGAGATTACACAAAGAAGGAGACACTCTCACTCAACTCACACATTCTCTACTGCCTTACACTCTCTGGTTTTTTTCTCACTCTCACAGAGATATACACTCTTGTATATCACTTGTGTTCTTCCTTTCTATTGCTCTATTTAACTCACAGCTCTCCCTATTTATACACAAACGGGAGAGCCAAAGATCAACATCTACTTGCCAACAACCAACTACCAAAATAAATGGCAAGCCACCCTAGGTTTGAAGAGCTTTAGCAAATCTGTAGCCCAAATCTGTAGCAGCTACATTTTGACTTCCATGGCTAACTTCACATAGTGTGGAATGCTCAACACCAACCAATGTCAACAATGGTGACTATCTCTATCCATATGGGTGAACTCAACACAACCTTGGCATCCTTAACTCTATTCATTGCAGTTGGGCGCCATTGTCTTCGTTGAACCACCTTTTGGTTTCTTTTCTTCTTCTTGTTACTGACAATCTTCTTTAATAATGGATCAATGGGCAAATAAAACATATTCAGAGCAAAAGCTACAACAGTAGAAACCAAACAACCAACCACGAAGCCATTTAAGTAGAAAGCATGATAGTAAGCATCAAGAGCCTTGTAGCACTTCAAAGGACCCCCACAAAGTCCTTTATTATTTGTATAGCTCTCAGCTATAACATAGGAAAAAAAAAGGCACTGGCCCCGACAAGAGACTGTTAGCGACACTAAAAGACTTGATACACTCCAGTAGGCCAAGCTCAGGTGGGATTTTTCCAATGAGCAGATTGTTATCGAGTTTAAGCAAAAGGAGATAACTACTATTTGCAATATCCTTTGGAATTTCACCACTGAAACTGTTGCCCAAAAGATCCAATGATGTAACGAAAGGGATTAGGCTAGAGATATTTGAAGGTATGGTTCCGAAAAGATTGTTGTTTGAAAGATCTGAACCGGTTAAGGAGGAGCAGTTTACGATGCCCCGAGGAAACTCAACCTTGAGTCCCATGCCTAAGAGTCGGAAATTTAAGACCCTGTTCTCTTCATTCCTCCAGCATTCTATTCTAGTAAAGTTACAAATGAAGCCTTCACTCTCGTTGTGGAAATTCCATAAAGTGCCTAAGTAATTGTAAGGGTCTTCCAAGGACTTTTTTTATTGACAACTAGACAACGGTTTTGAGGACAGTACTAAGGACTCTTGCATTGAAACCCATTTGCATGAAAACCCCTTGGTATTGATTTGTACATAGGGGGAAAAAAAAAGGAATATTTGAAGGAGTTAAGTGGAACTGTAAGATATGGTCTCTGGATTGGAACTCATAGCACCGAATACATTGGAAAAATTAGCGATTTGGAAGATAAAGCTTCAGAGACAGAGACTTATAACCATAGTTCTAAATCGCGGTATCGGGTAACGTAACAGTATCGATCGCGGAGTATCGGTATCGGTAGTATCGACCGGTACGTATCGGATATCGGGCGTTGCGGTTGTGAAATTTCAAAAATCATTAGGAACCCTCTAAAACTCAATTTTATGCATTTTTTTTGGACTCTTTTAGCCTTAATTTATCACATTTTAATCAAAATTTTGATATATAGAGGCACTTTTGACTCATTTTTAACTAAATGATATATATTTATTTTAATCTCAAGCTTTTATTTGGCACATATGTTAAACCTTTAATATAAAAATTGATGTGGAAATATTTTTTTACTTATTTTCAACAATGAAATACTTCCACAAGTACAACAAATTAATAAGAGAAAGATGGACATGAAAATAAATCATTTGCTTTAGTCATAATCGCATACAAACAATCTACCACAAATCAACAACTCTAAAACTTAGTAATAAAAAGAATTACGTGGTGGTACAGAAGAATCTCCATATCTCACATCGCTTTGATCATCACTATGAATTGGTTGGCCTATTTCTCCATATTGATATTCCTGGTAGTAGTTATTGAAAGTATATTGATCATAAGTGGTGTTGTTGCTGCCACTCCTACTTGATTGCTGTTGTGTCATTGCATGCCCCCTTGTACCATAATTGAAACCCTCTATATATGGATATTGATGAGGTTGTTAAGAGTAGTTCCAATTTCGCATATAAGGTGGTTGATAGATGTGTGGTGGTGGTTGACCTAGAGGAGGGTAATAAGGATATGGTACTTGGCATATTGGTCGCCAATGTTGAGTTCCCCTTCCATCTTCTTGTAACTCTGAGATGTCCAAATTGATTTCTAAGGTCACGATGACCATAAATATTGTTGGGTATACCTCCTTATTGGAATGTGGGACCCAATTGGTTTTGGAAAAAGAGTTTAATTTTGGTTTAGTATTAATTATAATATATTTTTATATATTACATTTAATTTGTGGAGACCCAATCCAATTTGGAAACAATTAAGGTTTGATAATAAACCCTAGATTCACTATATTTTAGTTTTTATTTTTGCTCATCCCGAGGTGAAGAGAACGGTTGCTACACATACTCCACTTTGGTGAAATCAACTATTTGGGTGTGTGAATAGTGGAATTAATTTGGGTGGTTCTTTGCTTCATTTTTTGTGTTGATTTGGTTCGTTATTTTGGGTCTTCTTCAACTCTGGTTCTGAAGATTTTGGTTCATCTATTTGGTGAGATCTTTCCTCTTTGTTTATTTGTGATTATTTGGAATTCACCTAAGGGTGGTTTTGTGAGATCATTCGTGTCTCGTTTGTAATCGTTTGGAAACTTATTTGGTTGATAGTGGAATCGGATTTCGATCCCGTGGACGTACCTCACATTGAGGGAACCACATAAAAATCCTTGTGTTGCTTTTGATTTAATTTTTCCGCATTAGTTTTTATTCCCATTGATTGATTTACTTGTGGGGAATCACATCGATTTTCCCTAACAACTGGTATCAGAGCTTACGGTTTATTTGGGTTTATTTATTTGGGTTTATTTATTTGTGTAAATCAATGGAGGGGAATGTGGGTCGTATGTCTAGTTTCAATGGAAGCAATTGGGTAACTTGGAAAACTAAAATGGAGGATCTATTATTTTGTAAAGATTTGTGTGGACCCATTGAGGGTGATAGTGGCAAACCCGAGGGTATGAAGGATGATGAATGGAATAGGCTTAATCGAAAAGCTGTTGGTGTTATCCGTCAATGGATTGATGACAGTGTGTTTCATCATGTTGCTACTGAAACTTCGGCACATGATTTATGGAAAAAATTAGAGGGCCTTTATGATAGGAAATCAGCCACAAATAAAGCTTTTCTGTTTCGTAAGTTGGTTAATTTAAAATATAAAGAGGGCAGCCCTATTCCGGAACATCTGAATGAAATAAAGAGTATTGTTAACCAACTTGCTTCTATGAAAATTGTTTTTGATGATGAGTTGCAGGCTTTGATGCTACTTAGTTCTTTGCCCGAAAGTTGGGAGACTTTGGTTGTGACGGTTAGTAATTCGGCACCTGATGGAGTTGTCACAATGGGCCAAGTCACTAGTAGACTGACGCGTGTAGTATTTGAAAATGGAGTCTTTCTTAACGGTAAGATTCATTGGCCTAGTTGTCAGTCCGTAAGATCAATCTATTATGATGTTAATCAAGATAGACTCTTCCCATTGCCAATGCCTCATCGTTTACTCACAAAGGACCTATTATATTTTGCGGAGTCTGGAGGTCGTCTACAGTTAATTGAGTTTATTAAAAATTGCTCTCGTCATTTTTATGTGTTCGAGTTGGAGACAGACTATTCCAAATGGTTTGTCAAGTATCGTGTTGACCTAAAATTGGCTGTATCGGCTTTTCCAGAGATGTATCGTGAACACGCTGATCACCCGTGTATGGGTTATACATTCAATGTACTTTGCTTCCTTGGTGGAGACGTTGAAGGGGATTCGTGTCTGGTCTAATACATACCTGGTAAAGTCATATCCTATAACTTAAAAGATAAGAGTTTTAGGAAGGTTTGCAATTTGAATCTGTCCCTTGGTGATATTGACTATGTACGAGTTCGTCCATGCATGGAGACCATATTTCTTGTTTGATTGTATTCTTTGCAAAATTGGGTCATGGGTTCAAACTTTCATTTGTTTCATTTCTAGTCTTCTCTACCTTGTACTTTAAGAATGTTTTCCCCCTCTGTTGGTGTAGTAGTTTCGAACATTGTAAGTTTATTTATGCCTTTTGCAATGAAATGAATTATGTGTCATTTTGGATATGTTAAACTGATTTTATTTCCTGTTGGATAAATTTATATATGGCTTTTGCAATGAAATGGTTTTGTAACATCAGCAATATTTTAGTTCTAATATGATTGATTTTATTTCACGTTTTAGCTTATTGAGTTTCTAAGTTAGAATGTAAATTAATACAAGACTTTGGCATGACTACCACCACAACTTGAGTTGAGGAAATCTACAAGGGACCGACAACCTTCAAGAAAGTATCCTCCTAATGAATTTGTGTTGATTTCTGATCAAGGGGAGCTGTGGCATGGCAATCTAAATTACAAAAATGCGTTGCTCTCTCAACTACAGAAGCTGAATTTATTATTGAAGTGCATCCGATCAGACAATGGTAGTGAATACATTGGGCCGTTTGATGAGTATTGTCGCAGCCAAGGTATTCGGCACCAAAAGACAGTTAAGAAGACTCCTCAACAAAATGGAGTTGCCGAGAGGATGAACCTCACCATTGTGGAAAGAACAAGGTGTTTGCTTTCACAAGCTAAATTGCCAAGATCCTTTTGGAGTGAGGCATTGAAGACAGCGGTTGATGTGATCAATTTGTCTCTTTCCTATCCTTTGAATGGTGATGTTTCAGAAAGAGTTTGGACCGGCAAAGATGTGACTTATCAGCACTTGAGAGTGTTTGGTTGCCGAGCTTTTGTTCACATTCCAAAGGATGAGAGGTCCAAGCTTGACAGTAAGTCAAGACAATGCATTTTTCTTGGCTATGGGCGTGATGAATTCGGGTATAGATTGTGGGATCCGGTCGACAAGAAAATCATTCGAAGCCGTGATGTTGTGTTTCTTGAAGACCAAACAATTGAAGACTTTGGCAAAGGTGATCAACCGGAGCCAAAAACTAGTGATCTCATTAACATGGATCCATCTCCTTCATCTTCAGTTGATGATGAAAATGGGAGAGATGTACAGCCACCTATTGAAGATGTGGAGGATGATGCTAATCCTAATGAAGTTGAGTCAGAAATTGAGGAAGAGCATCCAACTCAAGAACCGCCACCACAACTTGAGTTGAGGAAATCTACAAGGGACCGACAACCTTCAAGAAAGTATCCTCCCAATGAATTTGTGTTGATTTCTGATCAAGGGGAGCCGGAGAGTTACCAAGAAGCAATTAAGCATGCAAAGAAAGGTGATTGGAAAAAGGCCATGGAAGAGGAGATGAACTCCTTACTTGAAAATCACACCTATGACTTAGTGAAATTGCCTAAGGAAAGGAAAATTCTGAAAAATAAGTGGGTTTTCAAATTGAAGAATGATGGCAAGAATCTGAGATACAAGGCACGTCTTGTTGTGAAAGGTTTTGGGCAAAAGAAAGGTATTGACTTTGACGAGATTTTCTCGCCGGTTGTAAAGATGTCTTCTATTCGGGTTGTACTTAGCATGACTGCAAGTATGAACCTTGAACAACTTGATGTGAAGACCGCATTTCTGCATGGTGATCTTGAAGAAGAAATTTACATGGAGTAACCGGAAGGTTTTGTGGAAAAGGGGAAAGAGAAATTTGTTTGCAAATTAAAGAAAAGTTTGTATGGTCTTAAGCAAGCCCCGTGGAAATGGTACAAAAAATTTGGCTCTTTCATGATGAATAATGGTTTTTCTAAAACCACTTCGGACGATTGTGTGCTTGTAAAAAATTTCCCGGATGGTAAATTTATTATTCTTTTGCTTTATGTTGATGATATGTTAATTGTGGGTCAAGATTCTACCATGATTAATAGGTTGAAATTGGAGTTGAGCAAGTCTTTTGCTATGAAAGATTTGGGACCGGCAAAGCAAATACTTGGTATGAAAATTGTTCGTGATCGCAAAGAGGGGCAGATTTGGTTGTCTCAAGAAAGCTACATTGAGAAAGTTCTTGAGAGGTTCAACATGAATAAAGCAAAGCCGGTTGGTTGTCCACTTGCCGGTCACTTCAAGCTTAGTTCGAATCAATGTCCTACAAGTGAGAAAGACAAGGAAGAGATGCTGAAAGTTCCTTATGCTTCAGCAGTTGGTTCTTTGATGTACGCCATGGTTTGTACAAGGCCGGATATTGCTCACGCAGTTGGTGTGGTGAGTCGTTTTCTCTCTGATCTAGGTAAAGAACATTGGGCAGTGGTAAAATGGATTCTAAGGTATCTTCGAGGGACTTCGAAGGTATGTTTGTGTTTTGGGGATGGTAAGCCGGTGCTTGATGGGTTCACGGATTCTGACATGGCCGGTGATGTTCATTCTAGGAAATCTACTTCGGGGTATTTGATGACTTTTGCAGGGGGAGCTGTGGCATGGCAATCTAAATTACAAAAATGTGTTGCTCTCTCAACTTATTGCTATTACAAAAGCTTGCAAAGAAGAGTTATGGTTGAAGAAATTTTTGCAAGAGTTGGGTTTGAAGCAAGAAAAGTATGTGCTTTATTGTGATAGTCAAAGTGCTATTCACTTGAGTAAAAATTCTACTTTTCATTCGAGATCGAAACACATTGATGTGAGATACCATTGGATTCGTGATGTGTTAGATTCGAAATTGTTACAACTCGAAAAGGTTCACACAGATGATAATATTTCAGATATGTTGACAAAGACTTTGTCGAGCGACAAACATTTAAAGTGTCGAACTTTGGCGGGTATGGTTGATGTCTCCACCTAAGTCGGTAGGGGGAATGCCCAATTGATGCTTCAACCTTAGGAGCAGAAATAGAATGTCGTTGTTGCTGTGAAGAATCCCTGTTCCCAATCATGATCAATATGATGAATACTGCGTCTACAACCATGTGCAGAACCTACAAACTCGCATTGTCCACCACTACCACCACCTGTTGGAGGACGACTGCCATCACTATCATCTCCACTACCACTAGGTGGACTCAAACCGCGACCCTCACTAGAGCCACTTCTAGCAGACCCTACTCTTTGATGGTGTTGAGGTACTTGGCTACAAGTGGCATGATCTCCCTCATCATCATCGTCAACAATCAACCAACCTGAGTTATCTTCATCATCCAAGACTACATGTTCTCTCTCTTGAAGCCATGGAGTTAATAGATCATCTTCTTCAAATATATAGTCAAGATTGATGGGGTTAAAAGATTCCTCTCTGTCATCTTGGCTTTTTCGTGTTGCATGTCTGATCTTTAGCCTCATATTATAATACACATAAACAAGTTTATTTAATTTTTTATACGTCAACCAATTCCTTGTCTTTGTATGTATCAGGCTAAATGTACTCCAATTGCGCTCACAATTAGAAGAAGAGGTGGTTTGGCTCAATACTCTCACAGCCACTTTTTGGAGTGCCAAAGCTGATGTACCATAATGGATCCACCATTCAGCTATATACAAATCAATCAATTATTAGTGATTATGTTATAATTTGATATAAAAGTGTTGACAATGTAACAATAATATGTAATTAAAATAGTTAATAGTTGATTGAGTATATAATAATTACCAGGATTTGTTGCTTTCACTGCTCTTTGTGCTAACACAGCACCAAAAGAATCTTCTTTATTACAAAATAAAGAAATCTGCAATGAACAAAAGGCAATAAACAGTTTTACAAACACAATTCACAAGTCAAATAATAAGTTATCAATTTAACTAATATTAAATAATTACTAACTTGGTTTATCGTCTGTATTTGCTCGTTTAAATCTAGTAGAAGTCTCGAAATCACATTTCTAACTCCACTCATCACTTCTCGATGATTAGAAAGGTGCTTCCCATATTGGAATATGGGATTTAAAAAATAACCTACATTCAAATATAAAATAATAATAAAAGTGAGACAAGGAACACATAATTTATAATTTAAATAAATTAAAAATTACTTATCAGCAGCATGTAAGTCCGTGTGTAGTTGGAAAGCCCATCGATTATCAATAATCTTCCAATAATCTACATAATAGCGACAATTTTGTTTGATGGCCAACTTTGCTCTATCCATGGCTTCATATATAAAATTCATTGTGGGCTTTTCATCCCCATTTATAAGTTTAAGCACCTTTAGAAGTGGTTCTTGAACTTTTAATACATCTGCCGCCTTGGTCCAAAAATCTTTACTTTGTATAATTTCTTTCGCTTCTTTTGCATCATCCTTTTGGGACCATTTGTTGTGCTTCCACTATTGAGAATGAAACATATCCTGTAAAGCAATCTTATGTTTAACAATGCATTCCAAAGTAATGAAATTGGTGGCAAAGTGTGTGATGACAGGACATAACAACTCTCTATCTCCTGTGAATCTCTTTATGAAATCAATGACCCAATTGAGTTGTAAATAAAGCGTGTGATTACTTTTGCACAATCCAACACCTTTGCTACACTTTTTTTCTTTCCAATATCCTCTAACATAAGATCAATACAATGAGCTGCATATCCCGTCCAATACAGACTCTCCCTTTTTTGCATGAGTTTGTAACCAGCTGCCTTTATCGCAGCTTCATTATCAGTTACAATTTGCACAACATATTTTTCTCCAATTTCATCCACTACCTTGTCCATGAGGCCCAAGTAATAATCAGCTGTCCTACTAGGTACATCAGTTACATCCACAGACTTCTGAAAAATTATTCCACGATTGCTATACACAAGAAAATTAACAATGTGCTTTCTTGTGGGCCCAGACCATCCATCACACATAATTGTAACACCTCTCTCAGCCCAACTAGATTTATGAGATTTTATCCAATTTTGTAAAGCTTCATACTCCATTGGTAAATACACTTCAGTTACCTGTTTAATAATAAATAACAAACAAAAACTATTAACAAGCATCTTAATAATTTATTTATTTTTAAACATAGATAGAGTTTTTTCAAACTTTAAGTTAGAGGCTTACTTCATAAGAAGTAGGTAGCTTTGTTCCTCTTCCAACCTCTCTTGCAGTATCCAACATTGGTTCTAGCCATTTAGAATTAACAACATTAGTAGGCACTGGAGTGAACAATACAAACTGGCTAACTGCTCTTCCTAATTTTTTCTTTGCTTCTTTCAAAAATCTAGAGGAGAGTTTGGATTGTTTGTTGCCTTTGGTCCTATGAAGATCCACATCTATGTCTAATAATTGAACTTCTGGAGAGGATGTATCAATCCATTTCCTACCTGTACTAGTCTCACGAACACTATGACTTCGCCGAGCAAAACCAGGAGGTGGTGCAACCTCAATATCACTAGCCCTATTTTGTCGGGCCATAACCATTTCTAAGTCCTCCTCATCATTTTCATCATCATCACACTGACTGGCTCTAATTTGTTCTGTCAATTCCTCATTCATCTTCCTTTTGTCAAGCTTTTTGCCCTTATAATTATTCAAATGATCCATCATTAGTGTTCGAACTTCACCACTGACATTAGCACAAGGTGCGACTTGACCTTTCATATGGGCCAAATGTTGCTTCAACCTAGTTATACCACCATTTAGCTCTTTTCCACAAAATTTGCACCTAATTTTATGCCTATTATTTTCTAGTGGAATTCCAAATTTCCAACCAATATCATCACTTGGAAGTTTTCCACTAGAACCACCTTCGTGCGCCATTATAAATTTCAATTATCTACAATAACAGTTTTCAATTAACAAATATTGTAATTCGAATTTAGTTAGTA